TTTTGAGTGAAGGACATAAATTGTCAAAGCAGGTCCAAGAAACCTATGCAAAATTAGCAGTAATGATTACTTTTCTTTATCTTGAATTGGATCAATCAGTCAAGTAAGCCTCAGATATAAATTTAGAGGTTGAAAGTGGACTATAACATCATATTTCTTTACTTAGAAAATGAAGCTGTGACAAAAAAGAAAAGGAAGAATTAATATAGAAATACCTAAGTCAAAATTTAATAAAAAAATTTGAATTTAATGAGGCCTCTTTTTTCATCTCAATTTCAGTTAAGAATTAAAGGTTTGGAGAGTTCGATTTTAATAACACGAATTGTATAATTGAAGAAGAAATCTTAAACTTTGAAAAAGTTGACTTCATCCAATAATGTTAACCAAGATTACATGCTTTAGGAGTTTAGAATTTTCTTTGACTGTACATCTAAATTTTACTTCAAATTCATTTTACGTTAAAATTTTTTTGTAATTGATATTTAACTACATCTATCTTCAAAAATGTCTCCCTAAACAATTCTTTTCCTTAAATTATCATGTCTTTAGGAATAACTTCACAAGAACTAATCGAAAACTTAGTATGTTTTTAAAATTCTTCAATTATTCTATTTTGAAAAGTTGTTGCCAATGGCCATATTTTTCTCCATTTTTATAACACCAAAACTTTTATTCATAGAATTTCATTTGAAGTGAATTTATTAATTATTCCTTAATAATTCACAGACCATTTTTATCATTAATGAAAGATAAAAGTTTTTCTCATTTTAAAGATATTGTATTTTTTCTAAAGTTTGGCACTTTCAAGTATAATGCTCCAAAAATCAACATCAATCCTTATATCTGTTCTCATATTTCATTATTTAAATTCTTTAGTTCTATTTCTTTCTTCTCTAATTTTGATTCAATCAAAGGACTACACACTTGTTGCTTTTACTCTTTGGGGGTTCAGACGGAGTAACAGTCTAAGATGGTGACTAGGGGGTTGGGGTTGGTTTTAACCTCTAGTATGATAATATTAATAATAATAATAATAATTAAAACGTAAATATCAAATTTGTTGTTTTGATTTTTTTTACAAATTTATAATATTATTTATATATTACTTATTTTTTGGTTTCAACTATCATTTTTTGGATGAAATTTTTACAATTAAGATTTTGTTAAATTTAGTTATAGATATATTGCAATGAATCTTGTTATTTAATAACATTTCAATATCTTCTTAAAAATTAAGTAACTATTTCATTATCTCATATATATTCAATTAAAGTATTCTTTTAAAAGATCTTCTATTACAACAAAGTACAATTATGAAGTTAAATTAGGAATTCTTGAAATTTTGATAGAAAATGAAATGAGAACTATAATGTACCTCCCCTAAAAAATAATTAATTGTAAGGGATGAGGCTTTGAACAATTTTAGGAACAAAAGTTGATATGATAATAATTAACAAACATTGATAGGAAATTTAAGAAAATAATATTTACAAACTTAAACTGAAGTTCAAATAATTAAATATGAAAAGTACATTTTAGTTTTAAAAAAATGAATAAAAATTATAAGGAAAAATTAATTTTTATATTCAATAGTTTCTTGGTAAGATATATCAGAAAATCTTATCAAAAGGAATACACTAATAATGAAAAAATACTTTTTATAAATTTTATTTGATGGGGATAGTACAGACCTGTCATTAATTAAGAAAATTCTTCATGTTAAAATCCCAACCCAAACCGATTCCACGCACTTGAGGTTAAAAAGGGGTAATTTCAAGGAATGCAGGGGCCAACTTCAAGCCATAGTTTAATTGCATTCATTTCATTGATATTTTTCATTAACTCTATTTGGAAAAAAAAATTAGAAAGATAGTTTGTAGTGCCTTAAATAAAAATTTTATGCGCGAAATTTAAGCAATTATGAGTAATTCTCTTCAATTCCCTTTCTGCGGCTGCCCAAATGTTGTGATAGTTAGATTGACCCTCTCCTTATTAAATAATCAATTTTCTAAATTTTCTTGAATGAATAAATTGAGGTGTTTAATGTGCAATGAAATCACATAAGTTAAATTCTTAAAAATCTTCAGATCATATTGAAGTGTTTGAATGAAAATTCAAAATCATGGGTGAATGAGGGCTTAAAACAGAAATAAAATAAAATTGCGAAAAAAAATTTTTCTAATATTTTTCGAAATTTTTTTTTTTTTAAATATTCTAATTAGTTGGAGAATTCAACACTATGACAAGTTAACGCTAATATTTTGATTTATTAATATAATTTTATAAATTTAGGATACTGCTAAGAATTATTCAATAATTAATGAAAATAAATGTAAAGATATTTAATAGAGATAGTTCTGAATATAAATAAAATTATATATTTCATTCAATCTTTCTATAAACTTTTGCAAAACCATTTTTAGTGGATTAAATAATAATCCTCCAATCACAACTAAAACAAATTGGTTATTTAGTATCCAAACAATTAATGAAGTTATATGATTTGCCTGAATCTATTTCTAAAAGCTCAATTTGTGTATTTTAAATTTTCGATAACCTTGCAAAATGTTTATGATCTGGAGATACATTAATATTTAAATTCTCAAATCTTTAACAATCCCTAAATATTCTGATCAATTTCGAATTCTAATTATTAATAATTCTATAACAAAATTTTTCCATACCTCTACTCTATCTAAAAAGTATTAAATAAGGGGTTATTAGTTTAACGTCACAGTAATGAGAATATTTTTGGTATTCTGAAAGTCTTCCTGAAACAATGATCTTTTTCATTTGTTTCAATTTGACTTAATCAAAATAAATTATACAATGAGGTTAGGTTCCTATGATTCGATTATTGCAAAATTATGCGAAATCAAATCGTACATTCTAATTTAATTGAAGCACTTTTTATTTATTATTAATATCCCAAATTACAAAAGAACCATTCATTAGATTTAATAATAACTTATTTGATTGCTCATTTATATCAAGACATTTAACTTAATTTTCAAGAGTCAACAATTAAAGAGGATTCTGAAAATATGGAATTAACTTAACTAATAAGACTGATTCATATTATTCGGATATGTTTACTCCAACTGTAATAAAATACTAGGAATCAGGAGAAAACATTCCAGGTCCACTTCTTTATAATAATAAAATTTTTGACTTTTTTTCTATTAAATTATAGAGAAGCCATTATTCTTAATATTTTATTGCAACTAATTTTGAATTATTAGAAATAAGGATCTATCTTACCCATTAACTTTTGATTTATTCTTATTCACTTTCTTGATACATTTTATTATTTAAATAATAAAATTCTTCAATTTATAAGTATAATTTATTTCTTTCTTAATATTCAGGTTTCAGTTACTTATTTTTAAACTCTTGAAGTTTTGTAAAATTTAATTAATTTCTTCTCTTTCATATAATTAAAAGAATTAAGAAATTTAGAACAATTGTATGTAGATTAATTATTTATTTACTTTTTTTTATACAGTCCAAACATGTAATTTTCTTAGTGTTTTGCTAATAGGTCATTACTCAGCTGACATTTTTTTTTTCTTTTTGTTGTTTGTAATAATTAATATGACTTACTCCTTTTATTTAAAATTCATTTACTTTGATTAGAAATTATGAGAATACACATCATTTTCATTCATTATATATATAATTTTTTTTATTATTGAATGACCTATTATTCCCACACTTAAGCTTTAAAGGATGTGAAAAATTTATTTCTTTAATAAAGATCCATGAGTTAGTGTAAATTTAATTTTAATTTGATTCATATTTAGAACATATAGCATGGCTATTTTTATCTTGTTTGATCTTAAAAATAGCATTAAAAGCTAATTTTAAAATCACCTTAATTGCAGACTATTAAAATAAGAATTATACTCACTTTTGGCATTTATTTAAAGAAGATTCTATTTGAAGGGACTACAAATTGAGATCACTTACATTCAAAAAATAAAAAATTAAGGGCACAGAATTATCTAAAAGTAAATAAAGTTTCATTGATCTATGACATAGTACTCCAAATAATTAATATCATCTATTTAAATACAAATGATCTTACAATTAATGAATGAAAATGATGTGTATTCTCATAATCTCCTTAAAAGAGTAATCAAAGTAAATGAATTTTAAATAAAAGGGGTAAGTCTTATGATGTATTACAAAAAAAAAAGAAAAAAAAAATGCCAGCTGAGTAATGGCCTATTAGCAAAACACTAAGAAAATCACATGTTTGGACTATATAAGTTGATCATTCTAATTAATATAATCAATAATAAAATGGGCTAATCAAAATTAGGCCCATATAATTCAGACAAATCATTTTCAATCATTCGCTTTTATTAAGATAAGCAGTATTAATTCAATGAAGACATAAATCAAGAGTTCCTAAATAATGCTATAAATTTTAGTCATTGGCATTTTATGATTCATGAAGCTTTGATTATAAATGGATATTTCTTTTCAAATTGCAAACTCACATTAAATTCATCTTTTCATCATAACCAATCTAGAATTATTTTACAAAAAGAAAATAAAATCTTAACATTTTAACATGACTTTGAAAGAGTAAGTAATGACTTTAGATTTAAATAAAATTCTAACCCATTTAACACTACAATAGAGGAAGTTAATATTATTGAACTCTATCGGTAGTTAAACCAAAAACAATAAGAAAATATGTTAATGTTAGATAGTTTTGGAACTGCTAATTCAACAATACAACCATCTATTAGAGGAAGATAAAATAATTAAACAAAGAAATTATAATAATCATCAGACGAAGAAGATTTCACAGATTTTGAAGATAAAAGTGATTCTGAAAGTCCTTTTACAAATCGAACTCAAAAGAACAACAACATTTCAATATTTAATTAACATTTTCCTTCTGATAGTGATAGTGGATAAGAAATTAATAAACCAAATTATACTTAAAAGCAATCTAATTATTAAGACTCTCCTTTATCAATCACCAATCATTGTACCATGGAAGATGACAAATAAGAATAGGAGTTAGTTTATTAAATAAACTCTGAACTTAAAAATCTAAAAAATAAAATAGAATAGAATATAGGTCCTTCTTATAAGAATAATTTAGATGCTTCAGAAGAATATACAACTAATTATTAAAAATTAATTGAAAAATAGCGCAATTAAAAAGTATTAGTTATGAAAATTCATTTTAGGCCACTTAAATCTCAGGAAACTCATAATAACAATTATAAAAATGTGGTTATTAAAAATAACAATCTTATAGCTCTGCTGTTTTAAATTTTAAAATTGAAAATCCAAATTAATAATAATTTAATTCACTATTTTCCTATGAAAAATAATCTTAGAAACCAGAATAAACTAAATTTATATCTGTAAAACTCAACACTAATTTATAATTGCCTCAAAAATAAATATTATCAATATCTAAAGAACCTAAAACTCCTAAATCACCTTAAAAACCTGTAAAATCTCCTAGAGATTAAAAATAAAAAAGCATTTTAAGTCATATTACTGGTTCAGAATCAGATTTAAATTATAATACATTAAAATAAAAAAACCCATTACCATAACCAATAAATATTAAAATAGATTTAAAAGCTATGTCAAAAAAGTTAGGATGAAATGTTTATAGTATATATATATATTTAATCATAACTATTCTTTTCTTGATCTGATACTTTTTAAATGGATAATCCAATTACTATCACATTTAGGTAGATAATAGTTTTTAGGTGTTTTATCTGTATGCTAATTTGAGATATTTCTCTCCATTTGATAATATGCTGTTTAAATAGCTCTAGTTGAGTTCATCTAATTTTCAATTTTTTATTCCTAAATTAGAGAGTTAGCTTTCAATCTTGGAGTAGATTCAGATTAATCATTTTGTAGTGCGCTTAAATAAATTTGTTTCCTTTTTGGTTGTGCTTTAAAATATTTATATTGAGCTCCTATTAAAGTTGGATCTAATGTATAATGTCACCTTACATTTTTCTTTAGAACGATAACTAAATGAAGGCCTTGTTTTTTATTCAATAGAAGTGCTGACCCTTTAATCTTTATTTTTGTTTTTAACTAATTTATCAACCATTTTTTTGTTGCAGATGGCTAAAAGGTATTTATGAATATCATGAATTTTATTTGATTCTTTTCCTATTGCATAATATTCAAACATTTTATAATTATTTATAGTATAAATTATTTTAATTTTATGTTCTTGCCAACATAAGAGCTTAAACATTAGACTATTTATATTATTTCTTAGTTAATTCGAAAAAGAGAAAAAAGATTTAAAATGAAAATATTATATTTGATGAAAATTAATAACTTTTTTTTCTGAAATGAAAGAGAATAAAATTGTTTAATAGATTGTGAAATAGTTAGAAGTTTTTAATTGATATTTTATGAATTTATATTAAAATTTTATTTATTAAGTCATGGATTCGTATCAACTTAATAAAACTTAGTCTTTTAAGAAACAAATTTTCGTTTTGACTTATTTGGAGATTTCTACTCATCTTCTTCTTTAATTACTTCAGTTGCTATTCTACCATTTTCTAAGTTTATGACTTTAACTCTTTTATGAAAGTCTACTTTTTTATGATTATTATTTGAGACATCCAATTAAGAATTTTCTTTTAGAAGGTTATTTTGATTATCGAGGTTTGTTTAAATTTCAGTTAATTAATCTCTTTTTCTTTAGAATCTTTTGGTTCTTGAAGTTTACGTATCCTAATTTGGAAAACTAATCTACTACTCAATCATTTATATTAACAATTAAGATTCTTTTCTTTTTTTATGTAGCCCTGGTAATATGATATGATTATCACTTTTTTCATGATTCTTAGAAAAAATATTTGCAAGTTGAGATTTAAGTTAATTATGCTTAGACAAAGGCATTAAGTTTAAAGGTTTAGAAATGTTTTAACTGAGATTGGATTCAATCTTTGGAAATCTAGAATGGAAGGGCTCTGTTTAAGGTTATATTTATTGAGTATTTTCATTATGTTGATGTGTTTATTAAATAGTTTGAATATCATCAAGTTATTCAAGGTTGTTGAGAAATTTAGAAGGATTAAATTTTCGAAGAGTTTAGTGTATTGAAAAAGAAGCATTGTTATTAATTATTTGAGATTCTGTGAGACTTTTTTGATGCAAGGTTTACATTATTATTAATAAATAGAGAAAAATTGTAAGTTATAAACTTTGACATAATTCAAAAGTAATTAAACACAATTATAGTAATTTATTGTTATACTTAACAATGATTATAGTATATATAATAGTTATGAAAAAAAGCAAGATTGGTAAATTCCATTTTAATCATAACCTATTATGAAGTATAAAGAAAGAAAATATTCTTATGATTTTTTTGATAATATATATAATCATCGCTAATACAAAGAATATTTACTACTCTTATTAATTTGTTTATTTAGGATTGATTTAAGATTTAATAAATTAATAAAATTGAATGCCATAATATTTATAACAATTTATGTGATTATTCAATTCATTTAATAGTTTAAAGATTAGATTGATCTATTTGAATTTCCAACTCTAATTGATCTTTAAGATTCTTATTATTCACGATAACTATTTCTATCTTACATAGTCTTTTAATATGTAGAAAAAGAATGCAAACTAGTACCACTTTATTTGGCATTAGCTAATAGTTGAAGATTCTCATCATTTAATTATATTGGTTTCCACCCCAATGGAGGTTAAATAGACTGTTATTATAACACTGTGGATGATAAAATTTGAATAGGCAATTCAAGACATTCCCTTAAATTACAACAGCTTACTAAAATGATAAAATACAAATTTTTACTTCCAAAACTAGCCTTAATCAAAATTTGATAATTTGATTAAATGATGTTGCCATTTGTTGTTGGCTAAATCATATTATATTGATCATTATTGTTATGATTTTTTAATTAAGCATATAAAACTACTTCTTGTTAATTTAATATCTTATAAGATCCAAGCTTTTTTGTTGTTGTTTAAATTTCTTCTTCAGTAATTATTTTTTTTTTTGTTTCTATATTATTTTTATATTTATATTATGTTATGTTTTCTAATTAAACTATTATTTTTTCTGGTTTTTGGAATCTCTCTTCGTCAATGACCTCTATTAAAATTCTTATGGCTTCACCTATTCTATAAACATTTCTATCCGTTATTGCAGTAATTTAGACGCTCTATTCAAATAAGAATATTATTACTCCTTTTTATCTACAGCAATATCCATTATCTTAAAGTTTTCCATCTCCAATTATCTATTATTCAGGATTATATATAGGTTCTCTAACCTATATTTATTAAATATGACTCATTTTTTTATATCCCTTGGTTGCCACAACGAACCCTTTTATTTTGTAAATGATTCTCTCATAAGCACCACTCAAATGTATTTTATTATAGGTTCCAGGAATATTAGAAGGTAATTGGAATGTGAATTACGTTGTGAATTAACCCATTGGAATAGTTGGTTATTGAAATTCATATAGCAATATTTCATTCTTTAATATTTTTGAAGTTGTATTCGTTGATAATTTGCCTTCATCATCACTATTATCATTTATATCCAAAGCACCATGTAAAATTTCTCTTCCTGTGATTCTTACATAAAGTCTTCTCCCAGGATAACCAGGTTTTGTTATATTTAAACTAATAGTCCCTACAAGTGTTTTTATCAATGATTTTACCTTCAATTATTTCTCCAGGAAAATAATATGCTTTTGAAGTCTAAACGAAAATTCCACCAAATTCAGTGCTATGCTTATTTCCCATTTTCTTATTAATATTATATAAGATTTGATTAATTTTTTATTCCTTTAAAATCCAATAATATAAATCATAATAATGCTTAAATCATACGTAACGAAGAAAAATATTTTGAAATAATTAAAATTTATATAATAATTATAGATTCAGAAAAAAATTAATGTTTTTAATGTTATATTATTCTCAATATATTTTTGGTTTAGAGATTATTAATTATTTAATTTAGAAATAATTTTTTCATCAAACACTGCTAAACTAATTTCATTATCTGATAAATTGCTATATCCATTAAGTTTTATATGAATGTTCATATCATTAAAAAATAAATATCTGTATTCTCTATATTTTCCAGATTTATGAATCAAATTATCAAAACTTGTCTCTTGTTTGTTTTTGGCACTCTTTATAATAATTCATTTGAATTAAATTTTCAAATAATGAATGTAAAAATATAAATTCTACTTGTTTATATTTATTTATTTATTCAATATGGCAATTTTATTTTAATTTTTATCCTATTATTTTTAAGTTTTAACTTTGCTAACTATTCAGTTTAAACTATAACAAATTTAAGAATATTTAAATTTGTTTGATGAAATATATGTTTGGATAATATTCAAAATGGATAAGATCCTTCACCATAGAGCTTCGTAATTAATTGTTTTGCAGAATGATTGCAATTGTTGGACCATGCACTATAAGATGATATTGACATTTATCTAGCTTTTCTAATAACTCTTTAAACTTTATATTATTTCTGTTATTCAATAAATTACTTAGTTGTGTTAATATTTCTAGATTCACAGTAACCAAAATCTTTTGAAGTTTATCCTTATTTTTTATATGGTACCTAGTGATATCTATCCTATTATCATCATTATGAAAAGATAATATTAAAATATCATCTTTATTGTAAAAATAAATATCAGGATGTCGCCAAAAAAACCAAACTCTTCTTAATTTAATCTTTTCAGAGAGAGGTTCTAAATTATTAAATTTTGCCTCATTAATATCATTCAAATGTAATCCAACTTAGAAATTATTATCTGTGCTTGAGGACATTTTTTTTTAATAGAACTAACGATTATCGGATATAAAAATATAACAAAAATTTATCCTATTGTTGTCATAGAATTAGGTGATTTAATCCATAGAAATTCTTATGCTAAGTTATTTTTTATTAATAGTTGAAATGGGAAGCAACTCATCAAGTTCCAGCAATTCTTCAAATAATTCTGGCATCTCTATCCCTTCTTAACTCTATGATAAGAATGCAATCCATACAGAATCATTTAAATTGTANTAATTATTTAATTTAGAAATAATTTTTTCATCAAACACTGCTAAACTAATTTCATTATCTGATAAATTGCTATATCCATTAAGTTTTATATGAATGTTCATATCATTAAAAAATAAATATCTGTATTCTCTATATTTTCCAGATTTATGAATCAAATTATCAAAACTTGTCTCTTGTTTGTTTTTGGCACTCTTTATAATAATTCATTTGAATTAAATTTTCAAATAATGAATGTAAAAATATAAATTCTACTTGTTTATATTTATTTATTTATTCAATATGGCAATTTTATTTTAATTTTTATCCTATTATTTTTAAGTTTTAACTTTGCTAACTATTCAGTTTAAACTATAACAAATTTAAGAATATTTAAATTTGTTTGATGAAATATATGTTTGGATAATATTCAAAATGGATAAGATCCTTCACCATAGAGCTTCGTAATTAATTGTTTTGCAGAATGATTGCAATTGTTGGACCATGCACTATAAGATGATATTGACATTTATCTAGCTTTTCTAATAACTCTTTAAACTTTATATTATTTCTGTTATTCAATAAATTACTTAGTTGTGTTAATATTTCTAGATTCACAGTAACCAAAATCTTTTGAAGTTTATCCTTATTTTTTATATGGTACCTAGTGATATCTATCCTATTATCATCATTATGAAAAGATAATATTAAAATATCATCTTTATTGTAAAAATAAATATCAGGATGTCGCCAAAAAAACCAAACTCTTCTTAATTTAATCTTTTCAGAGAGAGGTTCTAAATTATTAAATTTTGCCTCATTAATATCATTCAAATGTAATCCAACTTAGAAATTATTATCTGTGCTTGAGGACATTTTTTTTTAATAGAACTAACGATTATCGGATATAAAAATATAACAAAAATTTATCCTATTGTTGTCATAGAATTAGGTGATTTAATCCATAGAAATTCTTATGCTAAGTTATTTTTTATTAATAGTTGAAATGGGAAGCAACTCATCAAGTTCCAGCAATTCTTCAAATAATTCTGGCATCTCTATCCCTTCTTAACTCTATGATAAGAATGCAATCCATACAGAATCATTTAAATTGTATAGAGATTCTGATATAAATTTAAGAATACGAGAAACCATTATTTTCATTTAGCATTAAAGAAAATTTAGAAATGGCTGTTTATATATAAAGAGAATTTTATTGAATATGATGACCCTAATGATTTTATTCAATCATTAATAAATAGAAACCTTGATATACCAAATTCAATGTTTATACCCTCTGATTCAACACAGTTGATTGGAAGAAAAAAACATTTTCTTTCAATTTATCAAGATTTTAAAGACCCCAATTTATTATTATTATAACAACAAGATGAAGAAAAATCATATAGATTAAATTCTGCTCAAAATTATGAATAAAAAAGAAATTAAAGCAGAAGAAAATAAAGCTCATTAAAACACTTTGTAAATTTGAATGGAAGATAAAAAATATGGAGAGGATTGATGATCTTTTTATTGTCCATTGTAATGTTGATAATCCAAAAAAACTTCCTTAAATAAATCTATGGCAATTATTTGATAAAATATTAAATCTAGATAATATCTATTAAAATTAATATATCTCTTTATTTCATAAACATTCATTAGTTTATATAATATTTTATTTTTGGAACTATAATTTAAATGGAAATTTAATAAATTCTGGTGAAAATGTTCTCTTTTCCTTTATGCATCGATCACTATCTGATTGTTGATCAAAAAACCGAATTTGAATGGAAATTAATTTAGTCTTTTTCAAATTAGATAATAAATCACTCGATTCACGAATAATTCGACAAATATTTAAATATAAAGATTTCACCATATCAAGCAGTTTAACAAGTTTTTAAAGACTTAAATAAAGTTAATGAATTAATATAGCTTATAATAAAAATTAGAAAGGACATCATTTATACTTAATATAAGGAAGCAAATACAAGTAATTATTTTTAAATAAATAGATGAAACATATTCAATGTTTGGAACTTATTCAGATTTATAGAATTATCTTGGTAAATATTTTGAGATAGAAATGCAACCATAATATAATAAATATTAATTGACTGAATATGGAATAATGGATTTGTTGGTATTTGGCTTTTTACACAAAAGTAGAAGTTTTCATAGGGTAATAACAAAGGGTATAGCTCCTTAAATATCATCTTTATACAGTTGGTATTAGAATTTTATGGCAAGATTTGAAATAAATAACATGATTGATCCAAATTATTTACCAAGAAAGGAAAAAAGAGTTTAAATATAGAAGAATAAAGAATAAAAAAGCAATCCTGAATTGATTGAGTCAATAAAAGATGATAAATTCATTGTGTTTAAAGATTTGATAGAGAAAGGTGTTTCAATATATACAGCTTCTTTAAGAGATAAAGAAAAAATGCTAGTTCCTCATTTAGTATGTGCATTTGCAAGAATAAATTATGCAGAATATTTATAAAGTAAAAATGTAGATTGGGAATGTGAAGATAATGATAGAATGACTCCTTTATTTTATGCTATAAGAAGTGAATCTAAAGGAATGATTGAATATCTTCTTAACTAAAAAGTTAATTTAGAACATAAAGATATTTAAAATAGAACTCCATTTTATTATGCTTGTTCATTAGGATAATTATTTATAATTAGATTTCTTGTTGAAAAAGGAGCAGATATAAATGCTAGAACAGCTTTGGGAAGAACTCCATTTTCAAAAACAAGTTTTTTAGGATTATATAATGTGGTTGAATATCTCCTTTAATAACCTAATATAGATTTCAATTATGCAGATAAATAAGGAAGAAATGCATTACATAATGCAGTATTTGGTCCAAAAGGTGGCAGAGATGGAAGAAAGGTTGGAACTTGGTGTTATGATAGTCCTTTAATTGCTTAATTATTACTAGAACATGGAATGGATGTAGAGGCTAAAGATAAGGATGATAATACTCCATTACATGTAGCAGCATCAAGTGAAGCTTTAACTTCAATTCCTGTTTTAATAGCATTTGGCTGTAATATTAATAGTAGAAATAAATGGGGAGAAACTGCTTTAATTGTAGCTGCTAAATTTAATCATCATGAAACTGCTAAATTATTGATTGAAAATTAAGCAGATTTTCTTTTAGAAAATGAAGGATTCACAGCCATGGAAATTGCAGCTAAAAATTATCAATTTGAAACATTTTAATATTTATTAGATTAAATGAAACCTTATTTATTAGAAATAGAAAAAATTAAAAAAAATAAATTGCAAGAAGTTCTTTAATCTTTAATGAATATTACTAAGAATTTGAAAGAAAATAAATATGTAAAATATTTCTTGTAGCATTTTTAACCAACTTATGATCAAGATCATGCAAGTTTCATAATTGAAATGTAAGACGGTTAAAATGAACTTATGTAAAGTTATCTTAAAAACTAAATTATTTCACAAGAATAAATTAATAATTCTTTTGAACTTTGTTTAAAAAGGAAAAATATGTCAATATTTAAATAATTATGTATACATTCCAAATTTGAATATAAAGTCAGCTTATAAAAATCATTAATTGCAATGTTGCTTGAATCAACAGAATTAGACCTTTTACTTTTTTAATTTAATATTGATTGGTTTAATTATAGAAGCAAATTAGGAGAGACATTTCTACATAAACTAATAGAAAAAAGGAAAACTGAAACACTTTTAAAAATATTACATTTTTTTTAAGAAATAATAGATTAAACCATTTAAAGCCACTATAGGAATTGCTTTTTAAAATTGATTACTAAAAATGATATTTATAATTTTATAATCTTTTAAAATACAAGTTCATCTACAATTATTGAAATAGCTGTTATTCATAAATTTATGGATATTTATTAAATGCTTGATAACTTTATTTCAGTAAACTATGACTCAAAATAAGGACTGAAATTTAAATTGATTAATTATAAAATTGAATTAGATCATGCCACTAAACTACCTTAAGTCTTACTAAAAGAAGAATAAAACTATAAATTTATCAGGAAGTTTTCAGAAGTTACATAATTAACTGAAAAAGAAATATTATTTTTTGAAAAAATTTTAATCAATTATAAGGCAGGAAAAACTGCTTTAACTTAATATTATTAAGAACTTTAATCAAAAAAATAATTAATTGTTGTTGAAACAGAAAAATAATTAGAATAACATATGAATAATATAATTCATAATTATAATATTATAGGGGTAGATATTGAACATTATTCTGATAAAATAGATTAGTATAAAATTTCATTTGCTTGCACAATTTAATTATCTACTATAGATATAGATTATGTAATAGATATAATGAAATTGAGGCATGTCTGTAATAAATATTTAGAACCTATTTTCCAAAATTAATAACTCTTAAAAATTTTTCATGGTTGTGATGTTGATTTAAGAGTTCTATTTTGTGATTTAAAAATAATTGTGAAATAAATATTAGACACAAGCAAGATTGATATGGCTTTAATGAAATCTCCAAATGCTTAATCTTTAGAAAAATTGTGCAAATAATATTTGAACATTCATTTAGATAAGCTCTATCAAACTTCTGATTGGAGAATAAGACCATTGCCTCAATAAATGATAGAGTATGCTAGGTTAGATTCAGCAAGTCTGTTATTTTTATATCCAATATTGATAGATGAGGTAATTATAAAATCATATCTTAAAGTGCAGGAAATTCAATTTAGTCACCAAAGTGTTCAATTAATGCCAAAAATTGAGTTTGATTACACAATATCCATTAGTAAATATTATAAATAAAGATTGATACTTCTGATCTTTCTAGAAACCTGTAAAGAGTTATATTAAAACAGAAATTAGTTTATATTCTTTTTTAATTATCTTTTGATATATATAAGTCCTTCATTTGAGAAATAGTATTTTGTTTATTATAAATTTAATTAAGGACTCAAATTGAATTTAATTATCAATCGATAGAAATATGCTAAATTAAAATTTGTATTTTTAAAAGTTTTTAATTAATAATTCAGCTATTCATAGGATTGGCCATCTATTTGAAATTATTATTATTGTTGTTGAAAGGATCAACGCTGTTTGATTTTATAATTAAAGGCTAAAATGCTTAGGGTTACCAATTTTCTGGCTATACAATTGGTTATGCATAATCTTAAGGAAGGACTGCCAATACAGTTATGGGCACCAATACAATAGGTTTTGAACTACAACAAGTGCAACCTTATAATTTTTTGAAATTTTACCTTCAAAATTTGGAATAATTTTCACATAGTATGAAGAATTTACAAAATTTCCTGTTGTAGATGGTGTCAAAGCTAAAAGGTATTGAGAATTAATTAACTATAAAGAAATTCCTTTTGATTATGATGGTTATATTTTTTATCCTTATTAAACTCCATTATGAGACAGAGCATTTAAATTAAATTCTAGATGGCATTACGAACCTGAATTAGATCTAAGATTCAGCTTATTCACAATCATAATATCAACATTTTCTATATTTAGTTTACAATTTGAATTGTCAACTTCATATGTTATTTAAACAAATTCTCCTGGAAAGTATAAATTCTTCTAAACTGTTGCTGATATTGATGAAACCTATATTTATATTTATTTCTACTCCTTATTATTTGCAACACCATGTAGTCAGATTAGCAGTTTCTTATTTTGAAGAAACTTATAAAATCTCTTTTATTGGCTCTCTAATGATAATTTCTTATTTATTTTTGATATCATTTATAGATTTAGAAGTTGATATTACTCGAGCCTTTACCTTATAATTTAGACTGGCCAGTGTTGCATGATGATAAGTAAAAGATCCAGGTAAATTAGGTGGCAGATGCAATTCAAAAGGAAATACAAATTATCCAACCATCAAATTTTCATCTAAAAATGTATTAATTACAACAGCGTCTCTATGAAAAACATTTTTTCCATAATGAGTTGTTCTATGTTTGCCTGAGCCTGTTGTCCATTAAGTTTTTTCTTTTCCTACAATTGAAAACTGAACAATATTGCCATGATAACCTGGCTTTATAATATGAAGGTATATGTTTCCTTAGATTTTTATTTAAATTTTACCTTTAACAATATCACCTGCAAAATATAAGGATTTTTCTGTTCTAATCATTATTCCACCAAATTCTGAACCTGACTTATTGCCCATTATTAATTTAATTAATGAAAATTTAAAGTTAACAAAAATCTTTTGTAAAAAATTAGAAATATTTTAAAAAAATACATTATATTAAATTAGATGTCAATTCGATTAAGTTTCTGCATTTAAAATTTAAAAGAAGATCAACCAGTTTAAATTCAAATTCAGAATAACAATGTCATCGAGAATCTGGAATTGAGGTAAAGATTAATTTCAAAAGAAGTGATAAATTGATATCTGCAAGAAAGAGTATTGTATGGAAAACTTCATGAAACTGGATTATTGAAAAACTCATTAAGAAATATAAAGTTTTTCAAAGGATAATTGAATGAGCATTATGAAGGAAAATTAGAAAAGAAAATGAAAAAATTCCATATTTACATGTTAACAAGAAGAAAATTAGCAGGATCATTCAACTAAAAATTCAACAGAACTTAATCGCAATAAATCTTCACTTTCATTAAAATACTAAGCAGATATGATTGGAAGAAAATTTTTGTAAGGAACTAAATAATCAGCTCCAACATTGCATTTAAAGGATAAGGCGAGTAAAGATTTAAGCATTTATTAATAGAATTTCGAAATTTATCTGAAAATAATTACAATCTCATAAATTATGTATCACTATATCATTTAGTTTAACAATAACTTTAATGCATAAATTCCATCAGGAGTCCATTTATCTTTGGATGTAATTATCTCGTTAATTTCTTTCAATTCAATATATTCTACCTCAGTCTATTGAGGAGTAAGTTAAGTGATCTCTCCATCAAAATATAAAACAAATATTTTCCCCCAGATTTTACTAATTTCATCTTCATAATAAAATTCATTTTTAGGAATTATATTTACATTTTGCAGTCCAATTTCTTCATAAATTTCTTTTATTGCATTTGTCTCATATGTTTCATTATATGCTACTACTCCCCCAAAACAGGCATCAAAATATCCAGGACAATATCTTTTTTCTTGTGATCTTTTTTGTATAAATAATTTTTTAGTTTATGTTTGAAATACATAAATATATGTAGCCCTATGAATTAATTTTTTTTCTCTCATTTCTTTTCTTTATATTTAACCTATAACTTCATTCTTCTCATTTACAATGATGATATTTTCCTTGTCTTCTGAATTTTACTCTAATTCTGTTTTAGAAATCATAAATATTTAATTGCAAATTTTTATTTTTATAAAAATGAGCGAAGATCAAGATGAACTATTTAGTGCAAAAAGTGAAATATTATTCAATGTCAAATAGTGTGAAGAGCTTTTTCAAAAAGACAAATCAGAGAAGTAATAAGCATTTATTTTTCAGACTAAAACAAGACATAGAAACCTTTAAAAAGAATATCAAGATAGCTAAAGAGAAAGAAGATGAATTTTATAAAACATTATTATTAGAAACTAAAGAAAGAGAAAGCATTTTTGGATTTCCAGGTGATTAATTAAAGGAAGATCCTAAGTTAATTGTTTGGGACCCTCTTCAAGGAAATTTAATCATTACTGAACAAGAATTCAAAAATAAATATGATCAGCCAAGATAAAAAAATTCTAATAGACAAAGTCAAATACCATAACAACTTGATTAAAATTAAAATGAATGAAAATGCTTATAACAAATTATTATATAAATAAATCTATTTTATTAAAGCTTACTTAATCATCTTTCTCTTTTCCAAATTGAGAATAATGTAATGAAAAATAATGCAAATATTCCTATCCATTTAAATACAATATAAGTTGGAAATTTCTCTATAAAAATTCCTAAATTGTTTCGAAAAAAAAAAATATTGCAAGCAATAAACATCATTAGGGCCAAGTCTCTTAAATCACAAAGCTTCATAAAAACCAAAAACTAAATTACCAATAAAAATCTTTTAACAGAAGAAAATACCTATATTTTATTCTAGATTTAAGTTAAAATAAAATATGTTGATTGTTTTGGAAGTGATAAAGTTTATCAAAAGTAGAATTGACTATTACCAGTGTATAAAACATCAGGCTCAACAATTTTTAGATATTAAAACTTTTATGAGTTTTTTTTGATTTTGTATGGCAGGAGAAAAACAATTGGTTAGGATATTTTGAAAAAATAATTTTATTAAAATTAATTGAAAAAAGAACTTCTTATTTTGAATTTACAAAAGAAAATCAAAGCTAGTTTTAATTTCTTTAGTAAGTTAATTGATATTAATTTTAATAATAGAATTGAATATAAATTTCTTCTAGAAGAGATTGATAATATTTATAATAAGTTGAATAAGATAATCTATATCAAATTATACATTGATACAATAAGAATGTATTCAATTTAATGAAATGTTTAATAAAGAAATAAGTATGAAAAATATACTCCATTATCAGTTGATGATTTTAACAATAAATTTGAATATATATATTAATGAAAGTTTAATTCTAAACTGATTATGACACTCGAGTCACTCATAACCCATCAAAAAAGAAAGAATTCTCATAAAATACTAAATCACCTGAAATAACAGTACTTTAAAATTATGAATCAAATTGTAACAGGATTGAATAAATTCCTGGACATATGAGATCTAAATCCTATGAACATGATTGCCTAACAAAAGCATCAAATACTTTCGGAATTAATATTGATTAAACTTAAGCTTAACCACTTAAAACAAAGCGATAACATAGTATTTCATAAAAAGAAAATGATCCAGGATTTATATCTCCAAAATTTAGATTTGAAAGTTGTGATACTCTTATAACTAGAAAATCATAAAAGTAACTTATCTAAATAAAGCTATATTAGTAGTTTTATCAATGAACTTTAGGAATGTGTTGATCTTTCAAAAGTCACAGAAATATCTATGCAATCTTAAATTTCTCCTAGTAAAACATATAATGAATTGAATTAAAAAATAGAAGCAAAAGATTACTTAATTGATGAACTTCAAAAATAATTAACTAATTCAATTAAAAACATGACTTTGCAAGTAGATCTAATTAGAAATGAAAAAAATCAAGTGATTTAATAATAGATTAGACAAATTGAAATTTATGAACAATAATTAAATGAGAGTAGATTAGAAGCATAACAAAAAAACACTGAATTAATAGGTCTAAAAAAAAATTATAGAGAATTAAAGAAAATATTTGATGCGAAATAAGAGTTCTTTGTGCTTAATTGTATTAATACTATTATATAATTAGCTATTCAATCTAATTTTTAATCAAAAAAAGAGTGTATGTGTTCTTAATTAGAAAGAGAAAATAAAGCTTTGCTTGCTAAAGTTGAATAATTTAGACATTAATTATAAGATCTAAAACATAATCTTGAATTTAATAACTTGTCAATTAATAATTAAATTTCTGTTATAGAAAAATGTGATCTTACATAATTTGAAAAAACATTTAAGTAATTAGCTGATGAATTAAATTTAACAATAGACAGCAAAAACATCAATTCAAGCTTTAGTTTATTAAACCAAGAAGTAATTGAAGGAGTGAAGACTTTAAAATAATAATATAAAGAAAATGAAAAATTTTTAAGATGTTTAAAAGATTTAGTTATTTAATGTGCTCCATAAGATTATTTTTTCTAAACTGATCCAAGTTTAAAAGAAGTATGGAAATTTATAAAATAAATTCTTTAATCATATTTAGAAAATAAAAAATTAGCATCTTAAAATGAAGTATTTTTATTTTATAAATTAGGATATTGTTCTCACATTATGTAAATATTTTAGATGTAATAAAACAGAGTTACATCATAAAGGTGCTTGTTTGATTGTGGATTAAGAGGTTTATTAAAGAATAGTTGAAAAAATTAAACGAATTTTTAATTTAGCTTCTTTAAATAATATTAGGGAACTTGATAGAAGACTAGATTTTTATTTATAATGATCAAACATAGAATACATAATTTTGAAGCTAATTGCTTTTATTTTATTATTAAATATAAATTACAATTTTAATATTTTAACTAAGTTTAAACACTAATTATCAGAAATTATAAGTTTATTGGTTAATTTTTAATGGATGTAATAGATTTTCTTGAAATTAATGATAAAAGAAATAAAAGTCACTTTATTGGGAGACTCTGGAGTTGGAAAAAGTAGTATAGTAAATCGTTTTTGTTTTTCAAAGTTTAATGACAAAAATAAAGTAAGTCCAGCAGCAGATTATTTTTCAAAAGAAATACAATTAGAAGGTAATATAATTAAGTTTTAAATGTGGGATACTGCTGGATAAGAATAATTTAGAAGTCTGGTTCCTCTTTATTTAAGAAGTAATATTAAATCTTAAAAATAGATTCTTAAGTGGCAATCATTGTTTATGATATCACATAAAAATCATCATTTATTGCTTTAAAAGAATGGATCATTAATTTAGAATAAGTATGTTCAAGAAATTTAAGTATCTAAAATTTTAATTTTAGTTTTTATTCTTGTAGGAAATAAATGTGATCTAATTGATTAAGAAGCAGTTACTTATGATGAAGCTAAACAATATTCTTATGTAAAACTTTTTTAATAAATTCTAGTAACTTTAAGCACTTTTCTAATACACAAGTTGTAAAACGAATGATGGAATTGAAGATTTATTTCGTATAATTGCTGGAGAATATTTAAAATAAGAAGAAGAATTAAAAAATTAAGTAAAATTAAATAATTCAATTTAGTAAAATACAAATCATAAATAAAATAGTAAATTATCAATCGAAAAAAATTACTATTCCTCATGTTGTTGATTATATTTTATTTATATAATTCATACTATACATATTATAAGAGAAATTTCTTAACTTACCAAGTTTTAAAAAGTAAATAATTATCTTCTAGTCTCATTTCTCTTTTTTTTATTTTATCAAAAGCTTATATTTAAGTAATATTAAGATAAGAATTCATTAATTATTAGAAAGGGATAGACTATATTTATAAATAAATTTAAAACTAAGATTCAGAAGTTTCTTTTAACTATTTGTCTTTTTCATCAGAAATTAATTTTAATTATTGATTTTATGTTGTAATTTATTTAAGTTTTCTTTTAATTTATTTTAAACGTCTTAACAATGCAAAACTAATCCATATGCTGCTATTATCACTTGATTTATAATATAATGATGATATCGATTAAAATATATTAAGAATTAATTCTTGAGCAATAAAATAATAAAAATTATAAAACTAATTTTAATTAATACATAATTTATTCATATTGAAGTATTTCTCGTTTTTGTTTCTAGAAGTTAATGAATAATTGATTTAATTGATTCATTAATTTCTATCAATGAAAAACTTAAAATAGGATAAGAGTTTTCGAATTCTTGATCGTTTTAAAGAGAATCCAATAAGTTTATAAGCTTATTTATTTGTTGTAATACTCTTTATGAAAATTCTTGATCTTGGAATAATATTTTTTCATCATCCAAATTCACTTATTTACTAATGTTTAGCTATTTAAATTGTTTTTTGATTTAGTGTTGAATAATTATTGAAATATTGGAACGTATAATAATTAAGTAATTAATGCGCTCTCTTGTTTTATGGTTTAAACTATCTGTATTTCCAATAAGTTCTACTAATTAACTAAGTCTATGATATTGCTCAAGTATTAATTAATTTTCAGTTTTTTTTTCTATTTCTTCTTTAGGCTTTTCATTGAGACGAATATCACAATTCTCAGTTTTCGGTTTTTTAGTATAGCATGAGCCCATTATTAAAAATGTAATTGTAAAACTAAAACAATAATGATTATTTAAAAATTATTATATTCAGAACTCTTGAGAAAAGATTTATTTCAAACCATACGTAATTAATTTCTAAATAAAATATCAATATAATCTAATTTATTTTAGTATTTAAATTTATTGTGTGGGTTTAATCAATTGTTACTTATATATTATGCTTAGAGTCAAATTACTATTTTTAAAGATTTTATGTATTCTTTAAAAATTATGATTATTATTTTACAAATTAAGGCTTCATTTTTATTTTTATTTAAAGTTCAGTAAAGCATCCAATAAAATATTGTGTTATTGTTTTAATGAATATTTAGGCTCTTTTTTAAATTGAAATTTGAACGATTCAAAAATTTTTTGATAAATATTATATGAAAAAAGTATTACTATTAAATAACAATTAATATTTATATTATAATTAAGATAAAATTTCAAATAATTTAATATATAAATAAATTACAATTAGATGAATATATTACAGATAAAATAATCCCCAATTCTATTTACAAAAAACAAAACAGTAAATTTTTTATTAATTAGATATTTTCATTAATATTTTGTTTTTTATATTTAAGAATATTATGAGTTGTAATTATTAATCTTGAAAAAAATAAAGAAGTCAATTTCTCAAAAAAAGAATAAGATTGGAAGTAATTTCGAAGCATTTTTATTGTTTAAATGTATAAAAAAATTTAATAATAAGTTTTATCATCGAATATATAAATTCATCAATAATAGTATTAATTTATTTGATTGTTACTTCTTTTTAAATGAACTAAAATAAATCAAGAAGATGACTGTTGAGAGATTCTTCTAGCAGATTTATCCACTCATTTTCTATAGAGATATTGTATAAAAAATGAAAAAAAATATAATAAATCAAATAATTTTTATATAACATAAATATTTTCGAGAAGATGTAAGAATTAACAAGTATCAGATAATCTGCTGATGATGAAATAAATACAACTTGTTAGTCTATTTAATTCCCAGTTTTTAAAAAACACTATGGAAATAACTTAACACTATTTTATATTGGGGGTGAACCATTAATTACAATAGGACCACATTGTAAAATAGTTATAAATAATTAGTTCAGGGCCTTTAACATTATGTATGATTATTTCATTTGGTGGAGCTAGTTATTTACTAATTTTTGAGATTGCTATAAGAAAAGGACTTTATGTGTATTACTTTTCGATATTTATTGCTGTTCTCTAAATGTTTAGCTATTTGATTACTGCTCTTAAGAATCCAGGTATTGTGACTAATTCTAGAGAATATAAAGGTGTATTATAATGCATAGTATGAAACTTTTATATATTAAAAACACTATTAGGTTTGTAATAACCCAAGAGATATAGGTTCATTATATCATTGTGAAGATTGTGATGTTTGTATATAAGGATTTGATCATCATTGTCCTTGGACAGGAAAATGTATAGGCAGAGGAAATATTAATGCCTTTTATGTATTTGTTACTATGATTCCAATATATATTGTATATTTCATCATAGTTTCCTTATTATGATTATTGCACGTATATTTATTCAATCACAATTTTCTTATTCAGTACTTTATTCTAATTTAACAATTATTCTAAAAATAACACTCATAAAAATACCTTTTAAATAGCCTTTGGTTTTCTACCAAAACATGGACAATTTGGACAATTTGTATTTGTAGATTAGAAAAACAGTCTGAAAATTTTTCTTAAATCAATATTTTAAAGTTGGTGCATTTTCTTCAATATTCTTTATATATATTAATAATATATTATTAGTTGCATAATATGCTATATCTTTCTTACAATTTTTAGATCATTTCATTCTTACTAATAATACAGCATTTCAAATTTGAAACTAGATAAGTAATATTATAAAAATAAGAATTATAAGAAACTTCTATTTTCTTATTCTCAAATAAAAAGTTTAAAAATTAGAATTTTTTGGTCTTTAAATTGTTGAACATTTTTTGAACAAATTCAATATCATTTCATTAATATATTAAAGGTGGTCCATTAATTTTCATTAAACTACAAAAATCTCAAATTTTTGAAAGAATGAATTTATAAACTTTTTTAGATCCTTTTTTTCTTTTTATAAATGAGAATAAATTTGAAATGATTAACAAGATTAAATAAATATATATTTTCAATTTATGAAATAATTATTAGAATCTACTTTATCTTTAATTAATTATACAAATTTAATAGATAACATTTTGAATGTTATAGAGTTAAAGATTTCTTAAGCAAATCTAACACTTCTTAATCTCATTCTAAAGTCGATAGAACATCTAAAATTGTAAATGGTTATTCAGTTTATTGAATAATTATTTAATATGTGCTCCTTAATTATTAACTTTCAGATTCACGTACTAAATAATTACATATTATTATTTTTAATTAATTTATCAAAAAAGTAATAAATATAAAATAAAATCTCATTTTACTTATGCATTTTCATAAAATAGTGATATCATTAAATTAAGCAATTCATCTTTATTATTTAATGCATCAACATAATACTAATTCAATGATTCTAAATCATTTTAATGCTTCTCTTTAATCTCTTGCATTTCATCAATACTTTTATTATTAAAAATTAATGAATTTAATTTTTAAATTTACTCATTTTATTTTATTATTTATTTACTCAAATCTATAAAATTTTAATTCTGTTATTCTCTTATATCATTATTTTCTTGATCTTTTTATTATGAATACTACACATAATATCTTAAATGCTAAAAAATAAAATATAAAATATAGTTACTTCTAAAATAGCAGATTAATCAAAAGTCTTTTCTTATTAAGATTAATTGAATTTTGCCATAGAATTTCTTCTTGAATGAGAACTTTATTAAAAAAAACTTAATTATCTCTCCAATTAAGTTATCTTATTCGATTTCTCATTTAATTATATCTATAATTTTGTTACATTCGTTTCATCTGTATATTTTAGAGATTAATTATTTTAAGACATACCATGATCTATTTCAGATTTATTTTATGATTAGAAAATATCAAGACATGTAGATTTTGGTGATTATCCATATCTTTAATCAACCTCAAATATATAACTATTGTTAGAAGAATAAACTCCTTAATGTCTTAAACTCTCAAATGGTAATTTCCTTTCATATTAATTCATATTTTAATATTCTTCTAATTCAAATTTAAATTTCTCCATTTTCTTTCTAAAAGAATTTGCTTCTTATTAAGCTTCATAAAGTTTTCTTTTTAATTTTGTTTATTCTGATTCATAATATGTTTGTTTCAATCCTAAAATTCTTTAGTGCTCTTCCTTTATTCCTTGAATTTAAACTTTTAATTTTTCTATTGTTCTCTATTCCAATGGATCTTTTATTATTATTTATTATTGTTCTGGTTCAATTGATCTTGCTGTTTATGGACAAGACAATAATTATGATTTCAGAGTTTAGTTCTTTTATTACAATTTTGCTATCTCCTTTTATTGAATTTAAATTAAATTATTTAAATCTTCAATTAATTATTTGTTATTTTCAATTTCTTTGATATAATCATAAAATTTTTAATATACCTCTTCAAATTCACAACAATTAACTTTTTAAAAAAAGAATGCTTATGATTCAAAAAGTTGATCATATAATTCATTTAATTCTATAATTTTATTTTGTTAATCAAAAAATTTATTTTGATATTCAGTTTTAATTGTTTCAATTTATTTATTTTATTATCCAATTATCATGTCTTTTGTATTCAAATTTTCTTCCAATGAAATTATTGTATTTGTTGTTTAATGTTCAATTTATCCATAATCTTGAAAACTTCCAATATCTTCAGTTTAATTATCTAAAAATCCCATAATTTCTTATTATTATTGTGTTAGTAATTATTACATCATCTCCACTAATTCTTAAGAATTTACTCTAAGTAAAGTATCAATAAAATAAGACATGAATTTAACCCAATCTAAATTAATTTCAGAGTGTTTTATTTCATCATCAAAATTTCTAATTTCAAGTTTACATTTTTTCCTTGCTAATTATATATTTTTTATTATTTGATTCCATAATACTCTTCGAATATCAGTTCCTAAACTAGAAATCTTTAACAAATATGTACTAATCATCTAATAATTAAGCAAACACAATCCCATCTTAAATATCAGCAAAGTTGTGTATTTACCTTTTTGACAAATTCCATTTATTAAGCTATATCAATAGTGATTATTCTTACAAGTGTTATAGCACTTTTCATATTATAATAAATTTTGATTAATATATTATTGAAAAATATCATTATTATCAAAAAACACCCTAATTTGAGTTTAATTTCATTTTACAATCCTATAAAAGATTTAAACTTCAATAATATACATAAATATCCAAAAAATGCAATCTTCTTATGCTTTTTAAATTAATAAGAATTTAGTTTAAAAATTTAAACTTTGAAATATGATCATATAAAAATTTTGAATTTTAGTTTCTCATTAAAGAACTAAAAATTCTATTATATTTATTAGAAGAACAAAAATTAATGAATAATTCTACTAATCAAGTAAAAAGTTTACAAATTGAAATGAGAGTCATTATTATTAATTTAAAGAATATTTTATAGTATTATGTAATACCTAATTAAGTATTGAATATATAAAATGAATTAAGTCAATGATTCTAAGGTGATAATTTAATTTTTGATATTTCAATAATTTCTTTATTAGTTTTAATTAGTTTTTGATTATGTTAACTTTTTGATTAAGTTGTCTAAATTTGTTATGATTTTTTGTATAACTAATTTAGACGATTTTCAGAGTACGATAAATAAGATCCTTCTTAACTAATAAGATTTTAAATTTGCTCGTATTTTTGCATTTCTTATTCTTTCTCAAAATTATCTGTAAGTTATGGTTATGATACTGGTTTATATTATCTTTTAGATAAGGTGCTATGTTACTTTGAAAATAATTTGAGAGCATTTTCATTATCCTTAAGTAAGTAGAATTTCATACTTTAGTATTTTGATGAATGTTTATTCTTGTTTTAAGAATTACACTTTATTTTATCTTACTCTATAATGATTTACTTTCTTGATCATCTAAACTTAATAAACATAATTCCTTCTCTTAATATTGTTCTTCTGGATCAATAGAACTTAAAAATCTTTAAGTTCTACTTGAATATCGACAACCTCCTTTAGAATTATCTGTCTAGTTAAAATACTTTTTCTGAGTATTTAAATTGGCTACTCTTGAAGATCGAATCATTTTAAATTATACTGCATCTCTACGTTATACTGATATGTCTTTAATTTTTAGTTATTGTGGATCAACTCTTTTTTATTCTAGATTTTTTAATAAATGTTTTGGTGAAGATTATTTTCCATTTGGAGCAAATAGACTCATGACCATTTACATTTATAATCTTTAATTAGCAGCTTAGTCTTATTTTTTATTCCTGTATCTCTAAATCATCCTTCTAAATATATGTGCATATTTTGTAATTTCATTTGCTTATATAATTTCTTATCTTCTGTCAATAATTGAATCAATTAATTTAAGTCTATCTTGATAATTATCAAGAGATTCAACAGCATTCTTAATTTATGCTCTCGAAAAAACATCAGATATTTAGTTATATGTGTTTGCTAATTTTTTATTCATAATATTATTGACTAGATATATTTAATCAAGTAGTAGTTTGTTCAAATAAATGCATTTATTATATAATAATAGAAATCAAACAAAATTTATTTATCAGTTATGAAATTTATATTCGATAATCCTTATATGTAAAATTTTTAATATTTATAAGAAGATTTTAAAGAGAAAGATTGCCATTCTTTTACAAAATGGTTGTTTTATGTATGTTGTATAGATCCACTTTATAGATTAATTCATTTAACAAAACAAATTTAAAAATAAGAATTAAAAATATAGTATTATTGTAAATAATCAATTATGTTTGTTTTAATTATATTATGTTCAATATACTTAAAGCAAAATCAATACTAGTGTAAAAAAAGTCAGAGGATACTTATGATGCATTTAAAAGGCCTCCTGATTTTTTGTTTGCAGAAAGACATGGAGTATTATTGGTTCTGAATTTAGCAAGCTTGTAGATTTGCAGAAGCTGAATATGAAAAAGTATAATTATGTGCATGTTGTGGAATGCCCATCTAAAATGAATAATTACCTTTATGTTGTGATAAATAGGATATTAATTTTAATGGTGCTGGAATCCCATTATACTTTGAGTTTATTTAATTTGCAGCCATTCTGCTTGTAACTTTAGGGTATTATGTAGATATAATTATAGATTAATATCTGGTATCTATAATATTATTACAAATATCTAAGGTAGCACTTGTGAACTCTATTCCAATACTTGCTCACTCAATTACTATAATAAATATGCTTTATCTAATAAGGCTAAGTAAAACTGTTATTTATTATTATAGTGAATATGATATTGGACTTAATGTATTAGATTTAATTTCAACTATTGTTATAATTGGTTTTACAATTTATTATAGAAGATGGATGAATTTAACTGCTATTGAAGTGGATAACTCAGTAGTTACGATATCAGATTATTCTATTTAAGTAAGTAATTTGCCTTTAAATGCAACAGAATAAGAAATTAAAGACTTTTTCAGCAAAATTGAAAAAAAAGGTGTTGATAAATAATTAGAAATTTAAAAAATTTGTTTGGGTTATAACATCTAAGAATACACTAATTTAGTTAATGAAAAATTAACTAAAGAAATACAAATAAGTAATTTGATTGCATTGTATTTTATTATATTTATTCTAGGGAATAAGCAGCAAATTTGAAAGATAAATTACAAAAATAAGTACTTGAATAAGAAATAGCTGCTATTAATAAATAAATTGATAATTTTTTATCAGCATTTGATTAAAAATTCTAATTTAGTGGAGTAGCTTTTATTACATTTAATACAAGCGTAATATTTATTTCATTTATAATATTTAGTAAGAAGCATAAGAATGCCGAAAATTTCATAATTAAACTAAAATATAATTATTATTTCATTAATTATACTATTGTTTTAAAAGAAAACGATAATTAATAAAATTTAAAGGAAAAACTCCATATGTAGTAAGAGCACCTGAACCAGGTGATATTATGTGGGAAAATTTAGGAGAAAAACCTTGGAAACAAATTTCTAATTAAACATGGACAAATTTAGCAACACTTTTAATTTTAGGAATATGCTTTGGAGCAATATTAGGAATTTCAATAGGATAAAATTCTTTATATAAAAATGATACAAAAAATACTTATAAATCTGTAGCATTTATGATAACAATTTTGGGTTTAGTAGCCTCCTTTATTATTTCCCTTCTTAATACCATTATGGCTTTTACTATAAAGAAACTAGTGTTTTTTGAAAAACCTTATACATAAACAGATTTTAATATTAGTTATGCGAATAAGTTAGGAATGGTAATTTAACTATTTTATTTAGTCTTAATTTATTAATACAGCAATTATACCATTATTAGTTAATTTAGCTTTATAGGATGAACAATTATTAGTAAGTTTATGGAAAAGTGGGGGACTTAATTCTGATGTCAGTCTTATTCTAATAATGAATGCTATATTTCCTTGGGTAATTAATCTTTTTGATCCATTTTATATATGGAAATTGATTAAAAGAGTAAAAGCCAAAAATTAAGGAAATAATTGCACTTTGACTTAAAGAGAAGCTAATTTACTATTTGAAGGTACTAAAAGTGATTTATCTTAAAAATATGCTACCATAGTTAAAGCCTTAATGTTGACTTTTTTTTATGCTTAATTATTGCCTATAGGAATTCCTATAGCTTTAGGATTTTTATTAATTACTTATTGGGTGGAGAAATATTTATTACTAAAAAGACAAGCTAGAAATGCTCCTTTAGGTAAGTAATTAGCCGAAGAAATGATAGATTTATATATTGAATTAACTTTATTGCTATTTGCAGCTGGAAATTGTATTTGGTAAAAAGTTGTTGTAGGAGAAATTCATCCTATTGTTTGGACATAATTAGCTGTTGCAGGATTCTAATTTCTTATTCCTATTGATTGGATTTTTGAATGGTTTGTTTAATTCTAAGAAGCTGAAACTACAGAAACATATTAATAAAAAAAAGCTTAAATATGGGATGTAATTTATTATTATATCAACAGGATTATTCAAAAAGAAATCCTGTAACTTAATAAAAAAGTATTGAAGAATGGATTAAAGAATAAGGAGGAGAATAAAATTAAAAAGTTTAAGGGTTTTTACATAAATTAGAAGTGAAATATTAATAGGATATTACAGAAGCCTAGCATAAGCTTATTAAAAAATTTGTTCCTAAAGATCTAATTAATGTATTTAATTCAATATATTTAAAGTCACATTATGAAATTAAAAAAAATCAAATTCTACCTAATAATCTAGAAGAATCTGAGTTTTTGAAATAATAAAGAAATAATTCAAAAAAAGCAGATATTAGATAAGCAGAATCTATATATTTTGGAAAACGAGAAACTGAGTTTGTTCAAAATTAACCTTAAATTAAATAAGCTGATTCTTTTACATATGATTGAATCATTACATAAAATTCTATATTATTATGAATATGAAGGGAAATTTATTTTTAGATTTTTTGGTTTATTTATCTGATTTGATCAAAAATGTTATTATGTCATCTAAGGTAAAGTTTCCTTAAATTTCTATAAAGACTTTTTTAATTTTTATTAATATTAAAGTGATTTATAAAATATTTATATTTTATAGTATAAGATAATTAGTGGCAATTTATCAAAAATATTTAAATTTATTCTCAGAGTACAAATAATTTTACATTAAATCTTCTAATCTAATGTATAATACCTTATATTAATAATTATCTGTTATGCTGCAGATAAATGCATTAATCTTTTTATTTAATAAATGCAATATTCTGAAATTTTCATAACATTATTAAGCTTAAATTATAATATGACAATTTCTTAACATTAAGTAATTGTGGTTTATAATTGATTCAGCAATATTACTTCTATTTTAATTCATCCTTAAAATTTTAAGAAGATCTGCAACAATTTATTAATTGAAATTAACATTAAATTAAATGTCTAGACAAGTATTCTAGAAATACATAAATAATAAAAATCATCCCAAATGATTTAGTTAGTATCACTTGAGAATCATTAGGTTAATTCATATTTCTATTTAATTATTCTAAAGGAATTTGATTATTATCAAGAGTTCCTATTTGTAAAAATCAAGTGTTAAATAATCTATTTAATTTTTTATTACTAAAACATATAATTTTTTTTAATTTATAATACTTTTTTATTTTGTATATAGAATAACTATAATATAAATTAAAATATATTAATATTAACCTATTATATTTCAAACTAAAATGATGATCTTTTCACACTTAAGTTTCATAGTAGCAATTGTTCTTAATTAAAATAACTATATTATTATTATTATGGCCTAGTGATAACTTTATATTTTTATAATCATTATTTAGATAATTACTGTTATATTTGATATTTGTTTTTTCCTCAAGTTATTGGTAGAAACTAATCTTAAATAAACGATATTTTCCTATTAACTTCTAAACAAATGTTTAAGCTATAATTTCTTAAACATAATGAATTAGATGAAAAAAATAATATTTTATATTCCTATAATATTTAATTATTTATTATTAACTAATTGACTAAATATAACTTTGATTCGAAAAAAATAACTGACATCTAATTCTTGATCATTAGTTCTAATCTTAAAGGTTCATAATTTAATTTATTCTTTAGAGATTTTTCTGAATGATTCTTTTTAAATTTCAAGAAGTATTTGTTTAAAAAATAAATTCCGACATTTAACTCTTTGAGAAAATGTGACATAAATATATCATAAGATAAAAAATAATTATTTGGTATTAATTTGACTTTTTAATTAATGACGAGATGAATCTCTAATTATATTTAATATATTTAGAAATATATATGAATCATCATTTTTCTTCATATTATGGATCACAGACAACAAGGAGTAGGTTAAAATCTAATAGTCCAAATCAATCGAAAAATTCAGAGTTTATAATTAAATCGATATAGTAAAAATATAAGTCTCAATAAACAACTCCTTTAAAAAGTTCAAAAATTGCTGAACCATTGAAAACTTAAAATCTAGATATATTTAGTACATCATCTGAAATAAAAAAATTAAGAGTATAAAGTATGAGAAGTCAATCCTAAATTGATAATAAAATTCTGTGGAATTAGGTTTCAGATTAATTAGAAAAAAAATTAAGAACTTGTGCTGAATTTGAAAAATTGAGAAATAATTCGATTTATAGAAAATTGAGAGAAATTAAACTAAAAGAAAATGAAGAAAAAAGAATGTTACATGAGAAATAAATGTAAGAAGAATAATAGAGAAAGAACTAGATAATTGTTGAGAAGAAATAAAAGAAATAAATAGAGACGAAAAGCTAATATAAATTTTAATTATCTACTATAGTTAATGCATTAACATTAATTTAAATACATTCAAAAACATATTCTATGAAATTAGCAAAATTAATAGCAAAAAATTATTTAAATATTTTAGATTACTAAAATTACATGGAATAGAAAAGATTAAGTGAGAATTAATCTAGTTAAAATACTCCAAGAACTCCTAATTTAGGAAAAGAGTAAATTTTAGAAATTCAAGATTTAATTAATGGAGGAATACATTAGATAATCATTGAAAATAAAATTAAGAAGCATCGAGTATAACTAAAGGCAAGTGAAATTTTCTCTGAAAATGTTTTAAGAAGAGTGAGACTCTTGTAGAGTTGTTTTCATCTAAAAATATTCAATAAAAAGAGTAAATCTCACAAATATAGAAGATAATAGATTATTGGTGTTCCTAGTACAAGAGTTAAAGCCTAGACTAGAAGATTAGGTGATATAAAATTTATGAATCAATATTCTCCAAAATCAAATAAAGCTGGATCAATGCTTAATGTAAATAGTGAATTAAAATAAAATAAAAAATCTTTAAGACTTTTTAGAAGCTTAACGAAAGGATCATTGACTAAATAAAAAAGTTTATTTTTTAATAGGTAAAACACAAATGAATTCTTATTAAAAGGAGTTTAGATGCTCCATTATCCAATAATCAAATACATTTCAATATTTTATAAAAATATGGTCGTTTGGTCAATATCGTATAAAGATATTACTTTAGATAAATCTTGTATAGTATTATTTTTTAAAGGTGAAGGAAAATATAAGTATCGATATCGTTTGGATGTGCCAATAGGTAAAAATCCTATGATTAATTATATTGAAAATTGTTTAACAGTTTGGCCACTTGTCAGAGATTATTTAATTAGTTATCTACATATGAAAGGACAGTTAGCTTTAATTGATTAAAAGTAATTACCTATTGCTTAAATTTATAAATTAAATTTTATAAAAGGCTTAACTGAAAGATCTAGAATGAAAATTACTAGTTTAGATATTCATGGTATTACTGAAACTAAAAAAATACTTGACTACTTATAAAAGTCTCAAATTGTTAAAATTCGAAAAGTATTTGGTACGATTTATGAATTACTTCCTCAGTTCATTGATGTCAATAAATATGGATAAAAAAAATAATACATAGTAAATCTACCTTTTGTTCATAATATTGTTTTATAACTAAGAATGTTTGAGGAGTAGCTTTTATTGTAAAAAAGAAGTTTAGGAGAAGTTGATGAAAATTTAATTGAAAGATATTCATCATTTCTATTAGGAAATACTGATTATATCAATTAGATCTTAATATTTAGATTTATTCACAATAATCCTGATTTTTTCAAAGATTAAATGTTGAAGGATATATAATTACTTGAAGAAAAATCTATTTATATTTAATCAGCTACATTAAAGTTGAGTGATATTTTATAAATTGAAAGTAATACTCATCATATTTCATATGGTAGTTATTGTTTATTAAGTATATTTTTAACAATAAAATGTAATATTAATTTAAAATTATTACTATTAGATGTTTCTGATAAATCTATGTATACTAATCTATCTGACACTGTTAATTTATTTGAATATATTTGTAAAAAAAGAAGTTAATTACAATTAATTTTTAAATAAGAATATTTTCAGTTTTAAATCAAAGTAACATTTTATGAAAGAGATGAAGCGGGTTTTAATAGAGAGGGAAATTCAAAAAAATTAATTGGAGATAAAAAGGATAAACAAATTAAATAATTAATTCTAAATGTAAATGAATGGTTAAAATTATGTAAAGCAATAAAAAAAAATAATTTAGTAGAAGAATCTGAATAATTTTTTGATTTTAATAAATTAGTAAAATGTATTTTATTAGAATAACCATTTTATTCTAGAATTGCTGAAGAAACTTTAAAGTCTGTCTTTTGCATAAGTTTAAAAAATGAATAAATTATATTAAAAGCTTCATACAAACATATTTTATCTGTTTCTTATAATTTCATTGAGTAACTAGATCATTATAATTTTTCTAAAAATTTAGGATATGTACACAAATATAGTATATATCCTACAGAATACCATGATATCAAACAGATTATCAAAGAACAAAAAAAATCAACTTTAACTTCAAAAGATGCTAAATACTTTAATAAGTAATTTAAATAAATAAACACAGCTGATATTAAATTAACAAATAATAATACAAAAATTTCACTTATTGTTGATTATTAATATGAGTATCATGCTTCTTAGAGTATACCTATCAATTGTAATTAACTATAACTCATAAGCTATTGTTTATTTAAAAGAAATCACTAAATCTATAATTTTGTTAATAATCGAGAGAGCACAACAATAATAATATAAAAATTATTTAAATCTCCTATTATACTAAAAGTTGAAGATTCAGATTTGATTTTTTAAATTTTAAATTGTTAGCATCTATCTTCAGCATTACTTTCCTAAGAATTGCTTGGATGTTTAAATTAAATTTAAAAGAAAAATAGCTTTTTGACAAATAATTTACATTTTTTTATTTAAAAAAATAAATATCCATTACCTAGTTACAAATAAATTAAATTTATGTTGATTAATGATTCAAATAAATTATTGAATTATTTAGATAGATTAAGTTTTATGTTTTTGTTTAAATAAACATTTAGTGGTTCTTAAATTTTAGTTAATGCAAAAATTTATTTTATTTGTAAAGATTCTCATACAAGATTTAATGAAAAGATCTTCTATTTTCATAGTGATGATTTATTTTTAGGATTAGAAATCCAAGAATTTAAGTCTAAGCTTAAAAAATATATTATCATACTTAATAAATTTGATTTAGAAAAGCTCTTTGATATAAAAAAGTATTTAGACATATAAACAATTCATTTTTGGTGCAAAACAATTATAAATAATTTGTCTTTTGATAAATAAAATATCTATAGATTACCTTTTTTACAAAATTTGAACCATTATATAATTCCAAAACTTGATGATGAAGAAGAAAATCATAGATTAAAGGCATAGAGAAGTATGACTAATGATTATAAGCATGATGAATAAAATACTATTTGTAAATAGTTTCTTTAACCTTAAATTAAATTATTTAGAGTTATAGGTCATTATGTTATGAAATATTTTCTTTTAAAATCTTCAAAAAAGTATAAATTAACAACTCGTTTACAATAATAATATCATAACGATTATGATTCTGTTAGTATTGAATTTGTTATCATCACTATATAAGCTCACAACATTTTTGATATGTTCAGAATAATGTATTATTTTCCTAAAAGCAAACGAAGATTGATGACTCATATTTCAATTTTGCAATTTTAAGAAATGGACTTTAGAGATAACTTGATTTTTGATTTACTCGATTTCAATGAATATAAGTAATATTAGGATATTGAAATCTATATCAAATCATAGAAAAGTGGAATACATTTCAAACATTCCATTTAATTGGATAAAAAAGTTTTAACAAGAATTAAATTTATGAAGTAATCAGTAGATATTTAGAATCCATTTTAATTTGCTTTCAAAAGAAACTAAAATAATTTTCTAAAAGTTAGTGATGATTTAATTACTAAAAATAGATACTTATTACAATAAATAAAATAAAATTAACAGCTTTCAGATAAAGTTATTAAATTTATGTAATTTACTCGAAAGTTGAATAAAGACTTATAATTTGAATTATAAAATAAATTAATAGAAATAAAGATTTGGGAACTTTTACTAAATTAAGTATTTGAGTTGAAATTTAATAATTCTAAATCTATAAATAATTATATCCATTTAATAGATAGGATAATTTAAACTTTTGATTAAAAGAAAAGAAATTAAGTTAAAATCATTGGAAAAGAATATTTGTTGAAAAAATAATCAAGTGGTACTCTAAAGAATAATTATACTGTTCAGTCTAATGTAACTTAATTATACACTAGATTAATCCTTACGCATAATATAAAAGTTACAGAAAAATTAAATTTTCCTGAAACTGATATTAATTTAAATATTGGATTTTTAAAATATCCATTATTAGAATTCATTTGCAGTTAAGAAATAAAATTAGAAAGATTAGGAAATGCCTACTTAGAATGTTTTATAGAATAAATCAAGAAGACATAATAAAATTAATAAGTATTTAATCCTTAATATTTAATTTCATATTCGTAATCTTCAGATTATAATATTTATTTGAGATACTATTGCTTATAAAATTTAAAATATAAAGACATCAGATTAAACATGAGAGAATTATTGAATTTATTTATTGCTGATGGATTTTTCAAAAGTAAAACTAATTATATGAATAGTAGATTAAGTTAATCAGATATTTAAAATATGTGTTATTATTTAGTATAAAAAATAAGAGATCAAAACTATTTAAACTTGTCTTCACTTGTTTTACTAAAAAAAGAAAGAAAGTTTTCATTGGCATCGTAGATTTTATTAGAAACTGAAGATTCATTGATTCCTAATTAAAATAATTCGAAATTGCTTTTTGATGAAGGTTATCTTTATACAAAAGCAATAAAAGGGAAAAAATGTTTTTAGATTCTTCAGTTATAAATTTTTCCTTCCACAAAAAAAATAATTTTTAATTTGAGCGATAGCAAAGCTGTATTATTTTAACAGAGGATTCTTACCTTTTAGGAAGCAGATTAAGAAGCAACTCATTTTCTTATCCTATTCAAATCTTAAAATGTACAATTAGCTTTATAACGTCTTGCATAAGCTTTAGAGTACAATTTTATTCAAATTCAAAAAGTATGAAAATATTTAATAATATAATAAATAAATCATTTTTTCTTATTAATTAATCAATATAATGAAATAAATCATCGATTCCTTAGAATATTCAATCCAAGAATTAGAAGAATAAATAAAAGGTATTTAATTACAATTATTTCTATTTAACATTTTATAAAATTGTTAAGAATAAATTATTAATAAATTTATAGAGCCTATATATAAGAAAAACCTAAAGAAAGATTAACCCTGTTTTCCAAGAAATTATTTTAGATAAAAATGTCAAATTACTTTCATAATAGAAAGGAGTTAATTCCTTTACAATATTTGTATGAAACATTTTTTTAATTGAATCTAATGATTGAATCTAATGCGTTATCATTAACTTAGTATTTTAATAAATCAATATGGAAAGTTATTTGTATTTTTATTTATTATCTAGTGGCAACTTGTTATGCTACTGTAATGGCATTTGGTTAACTTATTGAAATCAATAAATCGTTAAAAAATTATTTGCCATCTTAAGAGAAAATAAAATGAAAAGAAATTTGATAATTTAAAATAAAAGTTTTAAATGATTTAATAATCAGAATGATTTATTTACGCTTATGTTAATAAGATAGTGAATAAAATAAACAATTAGACAGAATAATACTTTGAAATATTTTAATCTTAAGAATATAGATTTTCATTATGGTAGATATTCCTTTTATGTATTCAGTTCTCTTTGGTGGTTGTAAATTCGTAAAAAAATGGATTTCTTATACTGAAAAAGTTAATTATTTTATAATATTTTTATAATTAATTAGTTTTAATTATGAAATTTTATTATAATTTTTTATTTAATAAATATGAATAAAAAATAACTATTGATCTAAATAAAATATAATTTATTTTCCAAATAAAATTATGGGAAACCAATAAGTTTTGGTAAATTATGATTCTGCCCTTGTTTTTGTACAAGACTTAGGAAATCAATTATTGGATAAAGGAAGTTTTTAACATCCTTCTTTAGGATCTATTAGATTGTGGTAAATTAAAAAAGAACCATAAAAGTTGTTATTTTCTTTTGTATTTTGATGTTATCATTTAAGGTTTTGTCAACTTCAGAATTAGATTCATCTATATTATAAGTTCATTAAGTTAGATGTAAGATGTAACATCCAAATTTATTAAAATATTATGCCTGTTTTAAGGAATCAAGAATTGGTGGTGTGGAGAAGTAATAATATTTTTTTGAATATTATCCAAAAACTTTAAAATAAATTACTATTTGTGCTCCATTAAAAGAAGAAAATATTTGGGATGTATTATATTTTTATAAAAATAAAGTTTGTTGAACAAATTATCAATGTGATGGAATATTTGTAGCAATTAAATAAATTCCATGGAAATTTATCAACAGAAGCTATTTTTATTGATGAATTCTAAAAGGTCAAACTTTTGGATAATTTGGGCTAAAAACGCTAAAATGAATTTTCAATATCAGAAGATATATTTTCATTAGGATTAATAATTCTCGAAATGATGACCCAAAGGAGTATGTTTTTTTATTATATATGATTAGCAAGCCAATTGAATTTCAATAATGCTTTAAAATAATTAATGGGTTAGTATAGTTTATAATTACTTTAACTAACAAGCAAATTATTACAAAATGACGTTGAAATAAAAACAGATTTTATTGAATTAAAAAAAATCATTAATAATAGATTTAAAATTCCAATAACAAACAAATAGGCTTAGTTTATAAAAACTGAAGAAGGATATTCAACTATATCTTATGTTTAAATTTTGGATAAATAAGAGATTGAAATAATTAAATAAAAATAACTTTTTTAACAGTAAAATCAACAATAGATGATAAATAAATTAAAATAAAGCTAAACTAAATAAATATAGGAAGTTAAAATCAAATTATTATCACAGTAAATTGTTTAGCCATAAAAAATATAAATTAAATAAAACTTAATCAAAAAGAATTCAATAAAATAAGTTTCTTTATAACTTAATAGGGATGAACAATAACAACTTATTAGTTTTGTAGAACAAAGAGGCAATCCAGTACCTAATTTTCATTAATAAAGATATTCTCTTTAAATATAAAATAATACTATAAAAACATAAAAAAAAGATAAAATTTAGTAGTAGTGTTCTTAATAATCAGATAATATTTTAAATAAGTAAATCATCCTAAATTTATTATAACGACAAGGAAATATAAATAATTAATTATAGAATTAATCATAGAAACTGGATTTGCGTTCCTCAATTAGTTCTAGTCATAGCACTTAAATTTTTTAATCTCAAACTCAAAGAATATCAACTTGTCCTAATTCTGTTAACTTAAAGTCTAATCATACATTTTCAACTGTAATAAATATTGTAATTAAATTTGTAGATACCAATTCATCCATCCAAAAAAATAAATAAAAAATGAAATTTGATTTTATTACATTTTAAAATTAATGCAACCATTATTAAAATAACCTCTTCATCTTTTATTGGCATTTTAGCAACCAAAACACAAAAATGTAATGCAAATTGTTAATTTGATCATAAACTAATTATAATAATCGAAAACAGAATATTTGACTATCTATGATTAATTTGGAATTCTGGAATTTAAATAATACAAAGTTGGACAATTAAATATAAAAAGTGAAAATCAAAAAATGTTTGATGACAAATTGTATGATTTCTATTAATCCTAAAAATAATTGCAAGATTACTTTTTTACAAAATAGTTTCCTTAATAATATTTCATTCCTTAAGCCATAATTTTTTCAAAGAAATGTTTTCTACTTGGATTACCATTTGAATATTTGAAAGGTGGTGAAATTCAATTTTGTGACATAGACTAATTTGACTTAAATAAATTATATGAGTAAATTTTATTTTATATGAGGAGGATTTATCTAAAATATGCATAAATAGAACAAAGAGAAGGAAAATGATTAATTATATCTTAACAGAATTATATTGAGAATTGTATTAAATAAATCGAATTTAAATATTCAAATTAATGTGATTAATGTATTCTATTTCTTCACACTTTTTAATTTGATCCTACACTTCTATTTCTAACTTATTGAGAAACACTAGGACATGGACGAGCAAATGTTCCATTAGAATTAGGTCTCCAAGGTTTTTCATATGTTTAAGTAGCACTTAATTTTTAAAAGGTATTTTATTTTGTTTTTGGTTCTTATGCTCCTTCTTCCATATATTATAGCACTTCAAAAGTTCCTTAAAATCCTTTTTTATTTTAATTAGCTGGTCTAAAAGGAGCGCCTTTGTAAAGGGGTCGTTTTATTTCTTAAGTATGTAGATGAAATATTTACCAGATAAATATCCTGCTCCATCCAGTAATATTCCATCAGCAGTAAAAGGACGATTACCATGACTAGTTGTAATAAATCTAGTTGTTCCAGGTAAAAATTTGCTTCTATGTTTAATCCTTTCTTATCTATCTAATTCTTCTTGTCTATCATATGGATCAGGTATATATTCAATTTGTCCAAATACATTCTTAATTGTTGTTCTTCCTAATCCTTTTTTAGCAGGATTTGTAAAAAAATTTCTAGCTTAAGTTCTAACATCCCCAGTTGGAGTTCTTGTATTAAATACTTTATCATTAAATTCTTTCATATGTTCAAATTCCGAATGTTTACTTTGATTATTGAAATTATTTACACAGATTTAACATGATCATTTGGTTTGAAAGAATTAGGGTTTTTAATTGCTAATTCTCTTTCTTTATCATAAATTTATTTTGCTTTGAATTAATCTTTGTATGGATCATTTAATGTTGTATAACCAGGTTCTAAAAATAAGACAGGTTCATGTTTTTTTTATAATTTTTTATTTACTAATACGCCTTTTTCTTTACCTTAACCTAGATAGAAATAAGTAATTGATAACTTTTTAATGCGTCGTTATATTAATCTCCTAATAATAATGGAGGTGGTTGATTAAACAATCCATGACGCTCTCTTTTGATTATTAATTCAAAGATACCTTTAAGAAATGTTTTCTAAGTCTCTAATATAATTATCGTTAGATGGTATTCTATACTAAGTTGACATAAAAAATATATTAATTATTTTTATAATATATATTAAATATATAAATTGATTTCATATTGAATTTAGTTTCAAAGAGACAATATGAAAATATTTAAAAATATAGATTAAATTTAATACTGAAATAAGATTGAAAAGAATAGAAAAATTATAATAATAAATAATTGAATAAAATAAATTTTGATATTATTATAATGTACTAAATATAAATGAAATCATGCCTTCTTCTTTAATTTAGCAGCTTATTTGGTGGCAATATCTATTTTTTTTAAAGCATTAGCTCTTCTTTATTTAGCATTTAATCTCTTTGCTCTGAATTTAGTATGATCTCTCTTTGGATTTTATTTAGCAGCCCTTTTAACTCTATCTGAACTCTTTCTAATTTCATCATGAATCTTCTTGAATAATTCTTAAACAGATTTAACTCCAGCCTATATAAATATAATTTAATAAATATACAGTCTTCAGGGTTTATTCCCAATTATGGAATTAGACATCAAATTTAGATCTTCCATCTTTATTAGTCTTCTTTTCTTTTTATAAAAGAGCCATATATTTATCAACATGAACACCAAAGATTCTTTCTTTATGAACATTAGCATCATATTTTTCTTTTTTATCATTATCAACAACGAATCCTGGGAATCTTCTGTTATTGTGTGGAATGTGAATACCACCATCAGCTGCTCCTTTTAAGGCAGCAAATACTCTATTTCCGAGTGTTGATCTAACCAAACCAATATCAAGAACAGCAAAGAATGGTCTTCTTTCTGGATTCTCTTTATCAGCTACATCATACAATGTTCCATCTATTGTTTTATTACCTTCATAGAATTTATCCATCTTTAATGATTTAAGTGTTCTTCTGGCTAATAATAAACCTGTGGCATATGCAGCAGCATAATTTGT